AAACATGTAATTGGTTATTTGAAATTTCAGCTGCAGCATTAAAAGAAGTGTTTTTCAACACTTTGGTACTAAAGCTACTTAAAATCCGCTAAGCCAAACGGGCTCTAAGTCTAAATAGAACCAATAAAAATTTAATTTGATTTGTATTTCTTTTCCTGATTAGAACTAATTTGCTAAAGTAATAGATTGTGGTGGCCTGGAGAGTGAGGGGGTGTAGTGAAGGGAAGGGACGGTGGGGTGATAGTGAAACTAATTTGGTGGTGTGGTGGGAGCACGAACCCTAAAAAGAGTTTCCTTGGCCTACTGCCTACAAGCTGGATATGAAAGCAACTCAAATATATTATTTCTTCACCTGGATATTTGAATTCTGACTCTATTATTTGATCTCCTTGGACCATAATATGGTTGTGCTGCAGAAAATTTAATTCTATTGGACATTTTTGGCTTTCCCTTGTTTGCTGTCCTGAATGAGTGTTATGTGTAGCTTACACTAAATGGTCTTTTAGAGAAGCTATTGAAGTTTGACTGTGCTTTTCATTTAGCTGAAGGAGTCTTAGATCGTGCTTTGAATATGCTATTTGGATATAAGAAACATTATTCTTACTGAAACAAGAGGGATGGATCGGGCTTTGGATATGCTTTTGTATACCTCATGGAACATCTGCAACCTTGGAGAAATACATGTTTTATGAATGTCAGAGAGTATACACAGTGATGCACCTGCATCGTTAGCCTTGAACTACTCTTTTCTTACTATTTCCTGCTAAACAAAATTCTTCTTTTCCATCCTCAAAAAAGAATGAAGTTGAACCTTTTTCATTCTTTTGGAATTGTTATTGACCAGTTTGTTGTTGTTGAGCTCATTAGAACTATTGGCTTAGGTGCACCCGGGGCTTTGGTCTAGTGGTAAGAGCATAGCACGTGACGTGAATTAGGCACACATCATGGTTTCGAACATTACTGCAGAAAAAAGCCCAGTATATTAAGTGGAGAAGGATAGAGCGGCAGACCCATTACCCACCTAGTTCCAAACCTTGCTTCATGTCCTCAGGGAGTTCTCGATTATCACAAATAAGGAAGGAAAAAAAAGAACTGTTGTCTTAGGTTCTGTGAGTATGCTTATGTAGTTACATGATCTTCTTAGTTTATTTATGAGAGGAGAAACTAGAAAAGGGTGTTTGTGTCATAACCATGCAGCTATTTCTTGAATCGGTGTATTAGAACTCCTTACCCATTTGACCTTATCACAGAAACTACCAAGTCATTACTCTCATACTTCCATCATATTAGCTCTGATGTTTATTTTCTTGGAAATTTGAATTTTTTAGTCATGGTAATATTGTCTATGTCCTCCCATTAATAACCTTGTGGAATGATGGTATCTTTGCCAATTTGACTCCTTTTGTCTTTTATTAATAGTCAAAGATGCTTTTCAGATATTGAGGTAGAAGTGAAGTGCTATGGAGAATGATTTCTTCTAACAAGATTACAGAACGATAAAAATAGCAGACCTTTCTATTTGTTTACCAATGTACTAATGCCATGACCCTAGAAATGCTGTTGCTCTTGGACTGTAAAAGCAACGAAAACCAGTTCTAATTTGAAATACATTTTTTATGCTGGACACATCACGTTATCACCAAATGAGCAGATTATATTACCTTTTGCTTTTGTTTCTACATAAACATTACACTAGGAGTGAGGTGCTGGAGGGGGAAAAAAAAGGACCTCCCGGAAAATGGAAATGGAACAACCTTCTCCTTAAGCTCAACTTAAAAAGAAGAAAGAAATCATTTGTAGGGAATGGCACCAAATTTTTAATTTTTTCTCCCTTTGAGAGGAAAGAGAAGCATATCCTGATTATTAGATGTTTGTCATTCAGTGTTAACATGTTTTGAGTTTTTTCTTTTTTCTAATTTTATTTTTGGGGAACCATGTTCGGTGTAGGTTCACTTTTGTATACCACTTGTATTCTGGAATTTTCCCCACCATATCAATGAATTATTACTCATCATTTTTTAAATCAGACAATATATTTTGTTAAGCTTATTTTGGCATGTGAAAACTTCTTTTGTAGGTTATCGACTTCCATCAGACTATGGAAGTAAATGGTATTCGCTTTTGGTGTTATACTGCTGGCCATGTCCTTGGTGCTGCCATGTTTATGGTTGATATTGCTGGTGTTCGAGTTCTCTATACAGGAGACTATTCCCGTGAAGAAGACAGGCATCTCCGTGCAGCTGAGATCCCACAATTTTCTCCAGATGTTTGCATTATAGAATCAACTTATGGTGTTCAACTCCATATGCCCCGTCAGATAAGAGAGAAGCTTTTCACTGATGTCATACATTCAACACTGATGCAAGGGGGTCGGGTGCTGATTCCTGCTTATGCCTTGGGACGTGCACAGGAACTTCTCCTTATCCTGGAGGAATATTGGTCTAACCATCCTGAACTAGCTAACTTCCCCATATATTATGCTTCTCCACTTGCAAGAAGGTGCATGGCTGTCTATCAGACTTACATCAATGCCATGAATGAAAGGATCCGCAATCAATTTATCAGCGCAAATCCCTTTAATTTTAAGCATATATCTTCCCTGAACAGTATTGAAGATTTTATAGACAACAAGCCATGTGTGGTGATGGCAAGTCCAGGTAGTCTTCAAAGTGGTTTGTCGAGGCAACTGTTCGATAAATGGTGCTCTGACAAGAAAAATGCGTGTGTCATACCTGGGTATGTAGTGGAAGGGACCTTGGCTAAGACTATCATCAATGAACCAAAGGAAGTCACTCTCACAAATGGCTTGTCTGCTCCACTTAATATGCAGGTTCATTATATTTCATTCTCAGCTCACGCAGATTATGCTCAGACGAGTTCCTTCTTGAAAGAACTTATGCCTCCCAACATAATTCTAGTCCACGGAGCATCTAATGAGATGGATAGACTCAAGCAGAAACTTACCTCCCTCTTTGCTGATGGGAATACTAAAATAATCACTCCCAAGAACTGCCAGTCAGTTGAAATGCACTTCAACTCTGATAAAATGGCCAAAACTATTGGAAAGCTGGCTGAAAAGACCCCTGAAGTGGGCGAAATTGTCAGTGGTTTACTTGTGAAGAAAGGTTTCACTTACCAGATCATGGCACCTGATGATCTCCATGTCTTTTCTCAGCTATCCACTGCAAATGTCACACAGAGAATAACTATCCCCTATTCAGGTGCTTTTGCTGTTATACAACACAGGCTTAAGCAGATCTATGAAAGTGTAGAGTCCTCAACAGATGAGGAATCTGGTGTACCAACTTTGCGGGTGCATGAGCGAGTGATGGTGAAGCAGGAATCAGAGAATCATCTCTCCGTTCATTGGACAGCAGATCCAATTTGTGATATGGTATCTGACTCCGTGGTGGCATTGGTTCTGAATGCCAGCAGGGAGATGCCTAAAGTATCAATTGACTCGGAAACTCCCCTTAATGAGGAAGAAGATGCAAAGAAGACTGAGAAAATAGTCCATGCACTCCTGGTTTCTATGTTTGGTAATGTGAAAGTTGGGGACGGTGGTAAGCTGGTTATCAATTTTGATGGGATTTTGGCTCATCTGGACAAACAAACTGGTGACGTCGAGTGTGAAAATGAAGCTCTCAAGGAGAGAGTTAAGACTGCATACTGGCGAATTAGAAGTGCAGTGAAGCCAATACCGCTTTCTACATCTTAGCCTCTTGTATTATCTTTTGTAACCGTGTTAAGAGTTTCTATGCAAGAAGCATATTGTAGTTTATTTTCAGCTTCATAGTTCATAGACAGGAAGAAAAATTTATTCTAAATCTTCAAGTCTCTTCAGTAATTCTATCCTTCCTTCAACTTTGCTTGATCTGAAAATTTTTCTGTTTCAACTTCTGGAGGTTGGTCTTGTGCATTTTGTTAGAATTTTGATCTCTGGAATTTGAAAACTTCGAGTGCATCAATATATATTGATTTAGGTATTAGCGAAACGTTCAATGGTCAAGGTAGGTTTGTTCTATTGAAATAAATATTATAAAATGTGGTGGATGAAGATGTGACGGGCAATATATGTACTACGATTCTTTCTGAAATTAACGGGTGTATATGTACCCTATATATATACATGGAATTGTGTTTGGGTGTTAGTGAGGTAGTAGATAGCTCGTGAAGTAATCAAGGTGTGTATCTGGGTGTTAGTGAGGTAGTAGATAGCTCGTGAAGTAATCATGTTTTTTCGGGTCGTAGGACACCAATAAGATAGGATCGTATTACCATAATATAGAATTTATATATTTTTTTAATCTTTTGTTTGTAATTTTGCTAGAGTTAAATAAGTCTAAAAAGATGATGAATTCTTTTGGAAGAATATGGAGTAATATATAGTTGGCAAAAGGCAATAACACACCTTTTTTTTAAATATAAGAGCAGAAAAGGACAATAACTCAGTTGATTCACTATCTAAATTTTACTTTATTGACGAGGTTTTTCCTCTTCCCATCTGGACAAACTATTTTTTAATTTGTTTTAATTAAAAAAAAAAACTCTGAAAAAATAATAAATCATGGATGTGTGATTTATCACACCAAGGAATGATGAGGAGGTAGAGAATCAACATGTTAGGGCCGAATATATTATAGGATACTATAGTTAAGTTAACTATATGAAATATGTCATCTCCTTATATCAATATCAAATAAAAAATGTATGTAATGTACACCTTATTGAGGCAGATACATACATCAAAGAAGATGATATATTTTATATGATTAACTTAACTACTTAATAAATGAGTAAGAACACACACTATAAAAATTCTAATTTGTATTGATAGATCGTAGATGAAACACTTTATTAGAAGTTAAGACACTTACTTAGAACCGAATTTAGTTTGAATATCCAAATGTAATATTTTAAAGTTCGTGGACTAAAGTATTGTAGTTCACAAACAACAAGGACAAAATTGGTTATATTAGTCTTATAGTTTTCCATTTAGCATTTCCAGAAATCCATGGCATAATTCCATATCCACTAAATAAATTATTTATTTTAACAAAAATTAAAAAAAAATAGCAAAAGAAAATCAGGCTAGGGGATGAATCCCCCTTTCTCCATTGCCAATCTGCTCTGAATCTGCAAACAAAGCAAAATCATCTTCCATTTCATGGAAAATCGGCAAAAAAATTGAAAAAATACCCATAAAAATCCAATCTTGATTCTCAATTCACCGGCCATGCGCCACCGGAAGTCGTCGGAGCTGAAAAGACCAGGATCTGACCTCCTTCAACAGCCTGACGCCGACCCACCTCGTTATCGAGGTGTTCGTAAACGGCCATGGGGTAGATTCGCAGCAGAGATTAGAGATCCGATTAAAAAGACTCGAGTTTGGCTGGGTACCTTTGACACAGCTGAAGACGCCGCACGCGCTTACGACGATGCTGCACGCGCTCTCCGTGGAGCTAAGGCGAAAACTAATTTCAATATGTTACCTCTAACAGATGATCCTTATGATGATGAGTTTGAGCTTTTCCCCAATCCGAGACCGGCTTCTAGCAGTATGAGCAGTACGTTGGAATCGTCTAGTGGGCCTCGTGGCGGATCGAGTAGTAAGGTGACCCGGATGAAGATTCCTCGCCCAGTTCGTCCGATGGAGGAATGCCGGAGTGATTGCGATTCGTCGTCGTCTGTGGTGGATGATCGGTGTGATGTTGATCAAACGTCATCGTTTGTGACCAAACAACCTCTGCCGTTCGATCTGAATCTGCCACCTCCGTCGGATAACGATGGAGTTGATGTTGATGATTTGCACGTCACCGCTTTATGCCTCTAATTTACCCTTCTGTTACGGTGATGTTTGTTGTTAATTAATTTGATGATGAAGAAAAAAGAAAAAAAAAAAGGAAGTTCTTTTAGTTTTCGTTGTCAAATCTTCTTACTTTTTTTTTCAAATTTTGCTCGGAAAAATGATGTACTCAAATGGTGGATGATGAAAAACAAAATGGATTTTTAGATTATGTGTAGATTAGTGTAATGAGTCATGATGCGATCTGTATTAAGAAAGATTGTATCTGTATTTGTGTCTGTATCACAAAAAACATTGGATCTGATCTTGAGTTACTGTCATCTCTTGATCTATCTCCCTTGCATTTTTTTTAAACCTTTTTGTATATAGGAAGTTGGAATTTATAATAAGAACTTATACTTGCTCAGCTCTGTCGAGTCGTTTTATGAGTTGTTATGTATTACCCTTAGCTAATCGGAGACCTGTATTTGTTTGTGTTATGTGTGTCATCTTTCTGTACAATCACTAGGACTATTCTTGATGCATCATGATTCATGACTACTTCAGGATTATAAAGCGTGCACACAATTAATTATGTCATTAACATCTGTTAAACAGATGAATTAGTTATTGACACTTGAGAGGAATATTAGCAGTGAAGAAAGAAAAACACCATCGTATGGTATATGCTTTTTGTCCTTCATATAAGTAGATTGATACTTTCGAATCAGCAAGTAGAAGTATTGCTGCTTGAGAAAATATGCCGTGGAGGATGTTAATGAGATAGCAGACCCAGCCCTCAACGGAACACTTGAAAGAAAATAATTGTGGTAGAGAAGAAGGTCTATGTAAAAGATATTAATTGGACCAGCTCTGCAGTCTCCTTTTGTCACCTTATATATTTTCTTGTGATGAACCACTCAACTGCCCAGCAACAGAACGACACAAATTCTTGTTGAATGAGTTGTCCTGAATTCCTTTCAGCTGGCTATATTCATCATTAAGCTTGGTTCAAGAGCAAGTGGTCATCCATCTCTAGATGGAATGCTTCATTTGAGTATGGAAATTGCTCCTGAGGTAAGCCGCTAATTTTTCAAGTGAAATTTATTTTCATGCGTCTTTTTTCAAAAAATGAGCCTTTTAAATGTGTCCTGGTAAGTTTCTGAGATGTTTTTTTTTTAAAACCAAAGTTTAACTGCTTTTGTTCTGTGGTAAGAACTTCCGCTTAATACCTCTCTGAACTGAAGGAAAATTATTCAAGTGTCCTTTGCAGAATGACTTGATGAAGTTAAAACTCTAGATTTCGAAAAAGTATATCATTTTCAAGTTTTAGATTACTTTTTATGGGTTAAACAAGAATTCTTTTTCATGGGTTTTGAAGTGTCAGTGGTGGAAGTTACTACCCTCACCTGTTTATGAACTTGTATAATATATCGTGGTGTTTGTTATCTGCCTATGTTATTCCACAATGAAGGCTTACAAATGGTACTTTTGATTAGTAAAATGCTTTTTAACAAATACAAGTGTACAACTAACAAGTTAAATTGCAAGTATCTGTGGCATAAGTTATTTGGATTGTTTGACTAAACTGTTGTTGCTCCATCTTCAATTAGTGTATCTTTTTGGTGGCACAAAAAATGAGAAGATCTTATGTTGAGGGCTTTTGCTGGTGCTTGATTGTATGTTTGATTTGATCACAATAATGATCACAGCAACCTCAGCCACGATTTGGAGAATCTCATCTCTGCCTTATGGACCTTAGGCGGTTGCTGTGATTTCTCTAGTATGTGAAATAGTAGTCATCTGAACTTACATTTCTTACTGTCAACCATATGCAAGCTGGGATCGAGCTCCAGCAGCTCTTCTGCCTCACTATACCTCCCATGTTGTTCCAACACATCAGCAGGTCTCCTGTGGACTTTGGCATAGCCCACTAAACTCCTATGACTGCACAGTGAATAAAAAGATGATTGAGGGTCTCAGATTCCTTCCCACAAAAAAAAACATCTGAATATAAGTCAGGCATGCCTCTTTAGCAACCGACATGTACTTTGTATGGTATTTTAACCTTACAGATATGTTTCCAAGGCCATATGCATTGATTCCCAGAAGCATTAAAAATTGTATAAGCAGAACTAACTGAGAATAGGCCTTAACTAGCTTCCAACTTGCTCTCTTTTCATTGTTTTTATATCTCCCGATCAACCTTCTGACATTCCACCCTAAGATTAAGCGCTTCTCATCAGAACTTAACCTAAAAGTATCACTTCAAGACTCAAATACCCAAGTATAAGATAGTGATAAGTTGGTAACAATCCCAACTTATCTATGGTCCAGGTAATTTTCTGCTGGCCGATATTGTGGGATGTCACATGACTGCTATTGTAACTTAGCTCCACCCCTCTCCTCTTAAGCTCTTTGCACAAAGATGCTGTAGAACTTCCATACTTGATGTCAGATGATGTAAAAAATCTGGCATATTTAAGTATCAACACTCATCGGGTTTCGAACTTGAGACCTCCAACATGGAAGTCCCAAGCTCAAACCACTCGGCCACCCCGAAGGGTGTCTTGTAATTTTTACTTTCTACTTTCTAACTGGTTTTCGTTTTTCAGTTTTTTTCTTTTGTTTCTTGAGATCAGTTTAATAGATATATAGAGATATACTATTCTCTTCTAATTTTGACTATAAATAAGATATACATGTGGAGTATGAAAAAGCAATTGATGTTTATAAATAACTTCATATTATCAATTAAGGGAATGATCCTGAAATATAATTATACAGTACCTCTTTAACTCTTTTGTGGTGAACTATTTAGAATTAATTCACAAGAATTTATATTGCCATAAAGAAAAAGGGAACTATATAATTGTTAACCCGTTTTCTTTTCTGGTTCATTACTGATGCTTGTATTAATTATTATATAAACTACTTTCTAGTCAAGTCGCTTGAAGAATTGCATAATGATCAATCAAGCTACTTGAATGTGGATCACATGTACTAGTAGCTATTAAAGCGGTATAAAGTTTAAAGTACAAAAGAACATGTCACTTCAACACCTAAAACTGGAACGCATCACCAAATTATGTGGTATATCACAATTTTTTTGTGAACAATAATTCCTTGTAAGAGAGGAAATTTTTTCTTAGGTGTGCTTGTCTTCATCATTTAATTAAGTTTATTTGTTGTATTTAATTTAGCACATAAGTGACAATGCTATTCAACTAGATGTGATACACTGTTAGTAGACTGCCTCATCTTTCCATCTGTTCAAGCCTTGGGGACGTGTATCTGTGTGGGTGGGAGGTAGTAGGTACCCCGTGGAATTAGTCAAGGTACGTGCAAGCTGAAGATATACTTGGCACTCTGATTTTATTATTGCGCGACAATGAGCTTCTTAATAACAAGTTACAGTTTGCTTGCCAATTACCTCTAGTTATGATGAACTCGAAGGCCATTATTTTGCCCACAATGTGGCAAAAGAACCTGTTCTTTTTTTACTCAATTTTCATTTCCTGATAAGCTGTTTTATGCTCCAACGCACATCAGCGATATGCTTTCTGCTAGTCGAAGTAAGGTGTCTGTACTAACTCTGCACACATGCTTCTGCTGCTTCATCTTTCTTTCTATGTATAAAGCTTGTTAAGAAAATGGTATAAGGTATGCATCATTCCATAACCTTTGGAGAGATGATGCTGCAGCCTGCAGGACAGAGGGGACTGCAACACCCCATAAGCAAATACTTAAATTTTTTGCCATCTTGGTGGTGAAAATTCAGCTTTTTAATAAATAATATTGTGAAGAATTCAGGTTCATGCTAGAGATTAGGCAGGACACAAGCTTTAAGTAGGCGTAGACACAGTGGTGCATATAAAAGCACAGAACTCACAGATATGTGGCAAAAGGGGGTCGATGGGTCAACAAAAGAAGATATAATTACGAGTATGTACTCATTATGAACAATCTGAAGAAATATCTAAAGGTAGCTGAACTATGCAATTTCTAAGCGTTTCATGTAATATAGCTAGGTTGTTTTCTGTTTGTGTGCTTTACCTTGTCAAAATGTATTATTTTGACTGGCTTTTTTGGTAAATGGATTTACAGCTAAATAAGACAGGTTTGAGCCGTCTATTCCAGATGAAAGAGAAAAAGATATGCCCTGTTAGTGATCCCTTTGGTAAAGGCTACCTGAGTAGTGTCTTCCTTCGGATTAAACTTGAAACAAAATGTGCTTGCTTTGAGAACATGTTTGTGGATCTCCAAAGAAATTAACATTTAGATGCAAATCCTTGAGTAATTTTGTTTTTGCATTCTATCTGTAGGTTGGAAAGCTTGAAGAAGCTGTGTATTATATGGCAGGACAATTGAAAACTTCTACTGTTTGTGGGAGACTATGATTACTTGGTCAAGTTACTGGAGGAGATTCTGCGTTTACTGATTGTCGCTGTTATTTTATTAGCAGCCTAGCACTAGTATACTGCTGGACATCACCAAACAAATAAAGTGTGGAAGTTCCCATTTACAAAAATCTGTTCATCACATTACTGAGCTACTGAATTATACTACTATTTTCTCCTAAGTTTTCCCATTTACAAAAATCTGTGCATCAGAATACTGAGCAACAATTAGTGTATTACAGCAAGGAGGCTACAGAAGTAGTATTGAATTCTTTCCTCATTTTCGCATGGGAATTGGTCTTGCAATGGAGGAAGCATGCTGAATGTAAGGAGAGGAATTGCCACTTTTGCAGTCGTTTGGCTTTTACCTTGTGTTGCCACTTGCAAGAACGTCTTTTTACTTTGTTTTTTTTTTTGTAATTATTTTCCCCTTCCAAATCCCTAATAGAATTTGTTAATCTAGCAATCTGGGTTATGCTTGAACTGGCTGTTGAAAATGTTATCAGTCACTTCACTGGTACTTGTTCACAATTTCTGAGTCATTTAAACTCTAAAAAGAGACCAGCGGTTTAACAAATCAAGCGCCAAACTTAGACAAACTTTGACTATACAAAAATCAGTTCAACTTCTAAAATAGCTAAATGGAGCAACGCCCAAAATTCTATGCCCTTTAAATGGTGAAATTTCTATCTTAATTACGTCAAAAAAATAAAACAAACTCGAAGCATGATCCTTGTTAGACGACCTTAAAGCACTTAACTAACCGAAGGCCTCGACAAAATTTGGAGCCGGGTACTATACTACCAAACTACTAAGGATTTACAGCATATGCATTTAAAAGCTTTACAATTTTCAACAGAAAAACATTGAGTCGCTGACATTCTTGTGCAGCCTGGGCAGTTGGGTTACCGGAGTAGTCCCAATTGATTTGACACTTCCCTGTTCTGACAAAGTTTCGGAGTGGTCCTCGTACTTATCAAACTGCCCGAATTGTTGTGCTGCTAGGTGTGCATAACGCACAGGAGCCACTG